CGTCGTCCCCGGTCGCAGCGCCGACTGTGAAGTTCTATCGTGATCTACCACGGCGCCAGTTTTGACGTCCCTAAACAGCACCAATTGTGACGTCTTCGCCGCGGCGTCAGCTGTTCGTTCCTCGCCGCTCCGTCCGGGTGTCGCTGCTCCAAACATGACGTTCTAACCCTTTGGTGATTCTGGTTAGATTGATACCAGCCTCGCCGTTCCCAACCTGCTTCCAACGCCTGGTTACCAGGGTAACTGTACTGATCTCCAGTCTGCCTACCCACGTTGCGAATTGATCTTAGACAGACGAGATCAAACAGGGGTTGGGGCCTTAATGCAAGCTGAGTTCAACGGGGGTGATAACACACAAATATGTATAAAAGAAAAGAAAATGAAAACTCACAAAGTTCAAAGTATCAAAGAAAAAGGTAACAAACTTTTTATGTCTAGTTGTTCGGTACTTAGGACTGTGTCTACCTCCCGACCCGTTCTGTGGATTGTGGCACGACGCTTTCGCTAGGCAAATTTTAACGCTTCAAGTTGTCTGCTCTCTAAGAAATTTGTGTTTCGGTGTGTCTTTGGACGAAAGTCGAAAAAACTTATTTCTGTGGTCTGGTTCTAAGTCGCTCTTCAAACTACTTGTTCTTGGTTGAAGAAGAGTTCAAAATTTTGCGTGAATCTGGTCAGCTATCTTGAGGCGGTTTCAACACTGGGCACTCTTCTCTCTGCCGTCCAGGGCTGAACTGATTCTGCCTGCCAGAGTCCAACGAACTTCTTCTCGCCAGGGTCCGAACTCTTCTCTGCCTGCCGTCCGAGGCTGAACTGACTGGACACTCATCTCTGCCGTCGGGGCGAACGAACTTCTTCTCGCCAGCTTGGGTCGAACGAACTCGGCACTCTGCCGTCCAGGGCTGAACTAACTCTGCCTGCCAGAGTCCAACGAACTTCTTCTCGCCAGGGTCTGAACTACTGGGCACTCATCTCTACCGCCAGGGCCGAACGAACTCGGCACTCAGGGCCAAACGAACTGGCCTCTTCTGCCCGCTTGAGGCGAACGAACTCTTCCCTCTGCCGTCCGGGGCTGAACTGGTTTCTGTCTGGTGGGGCTTCGTTTTTATTGACGCCGTCAAAACTGGGGTGGGTCTGTCGGCGCCAGGGGTTCTTCGATAATTCTAAATACGTATCCACCCTTCTTATTTCTGGTTAGTGATTTTCCACTCTTTTCCATTTTTGGTAACTCTTTTCTCCCCCACTCTCTCACCATGCTTCTGAGGGGCGTGAACTGCCCTCCCCACTTCCTCGTAGCGGCTTCTCATACTTATACTCTGGATGGGGGCGTCGACTGATTTTCTTCGTGCGTCACGTGACCACTCTCGGCCAATGAGGCCCTGGTCGGGTATCTTTCCTCCTCCTTCGTGCGTCATGTGATCCACTTGGCCAATGACGTCTTAGTCGGGCGTGAACAACCCGTGGCTTTGTTTTGGAAAAGAAATACCTTGCTTAACTAAAAAAAATTAATTAAATCGCCGTTATCATGAGCGGTTGATGTGACAACTCTCGGTTTCAACACGTGGCGTTTGTCAAGCAGTTTATTGCCAATTCACTGGACAGCTGGATTATCTGACATGGTCTAAGAAAGGAATTTTCTCCAAGTTTCCAGCCAATTTGGCGTCTCCAAAGCAGAAATAAAAATATGTCAGTTTCCTTCGGCTCATGTGTTGATAACAAAATTTTTATTATCGCAGGGCAAAAGTCTATTCTGTCAAAAGAAAAACTTAGCCAGTGAAAACTACTTGTGTGGGATTTTAATTTTCCACACCCAGTCAAGACTGCAAGTTACATCTGCGTTTTGTCCATTATCAAATCTAACGTTTTCAAAATGGATTTCTTAATTGGTGACCTCTATTGATAACACAATTCCATTTTTCGCGGATAAGCGGAAATCGGTCAACGCTTGTTCGTAGGTGACCTAGATATTTTCGACATTTGATACCTATCAATAATAACCCCTTTCCTATTCCCGTCTCTTAAGCCGTGTGTGTGTGTGTGTTCGCCTACGACCCGTCTCGTATTACTTTTTCTTTCTTTCTTCTTCGTTTTCTCTTTCTTTCTCCCAAATCGCTTGAATGCATGGCGGTTCAATCCTCTCGCAAAAAAAGAAAGAATTATTCTTAAAACCTAAAATACATTTTGGCCTTAAATAATCCTCAAATGGTTGATAAACCGTAAAGAAGCAAATCATATATCTATAAATATATCTTTCAAATCTCCTGGATGCATGGTGCCACATATTTTAATAAAATATATATATATATGTATATATATATTTCAATAAAGGTGCAATTAATTTACAAATTCATGAATTATTCATACAAAAGACAAATACAAAGGTTAATGATTTAACTGGCGAGAAATCCATCATCGCGAACAATTAAAATTTTTGTATATTATTTGAATTGTTCGCGATGATGGATTTCTCGCCAATTAAATCATTAACCTTTGTATTTGTTTT